GGACAATATTACCCTTTTGATTCGACTTCATGTGAATGTTGCATGATCACTTAACATTTCTGTCAAATGAAAACTTTGTAACGAACGATAAACTATGATAAGGGTACGACACTTTTAAAAAGTTAAGGATTCTGACAAAATATTCATATAATTTCTAACATAGATCATGATAAAAGAACATCTTAATAAAAAGGCACTTACACTGAATGACTGCACCTACGAAAAATTTAAATGAGAATTTTATTTTGTCTAAAAAAATAGAATAATAATAAAAAAAAATCCCTCAAAGAAAACATAACCTATTTGGGTCAAAAGAAGAGAAAAGAAAATTGTGAAATTGTGGCTAGAAAAATTTCACTCCCTTTCCGTTCGGACCACGTCATGTATTTATCCAGAAGAGATTGTAACTCCTCTGCATTTACGTCACTCCGGCACCTATACATACATTGTATATTGTACGTATAGCCCTTGTCGTTATTTGCAGTTCTACACATCCTGTGTGTATATAAGAGGTAAAGCAGAAACGGACCCCCCTCATCTTTAGACCATATCCACGCAATCTAAAGCTTCATCACCACGCTGTTCTCTCTTTCTTGGCATAAAAACCGCTTATTTTCTCTCTCCTTCTGTGAATATCTTCATCTTCTTTTCTTTTTGTTTACATTGCAATTTTAAGAACGAAACCATTAGATATTGCGTATTTGTTGAGTATCAAGAAGACCCTCTTCGTAAATTGGTATGAATTATTCTCCATCTTTCTGATATATGATTTAGTGTGTGTAGGTGCATGAAATTTCTAGTGTTCTGTTTTCATAGCCCTTTTTAAGCTTTTTTCTTTCCCTTTTGTGTGTATGCAGCTCATTTGGGGTTTATATTAGTGTTTCTTCGACATGGGTTACTTTCAATTTTGTGAGAAACATAAATTGTTGCTTTTATACTGTCAAATATTGGATTGAACAATAAGGAAATTGCTAATTTAACTTTGTTTTCCTTTTCAAGGAAGGGATCAGTTAACTTAAGGTAATTTTCTTGTTCAGATTTCTTGATTTCTGGTTGGGGAGTTTGAAGATTTCTTGATTCTGTGTGAAAGAAAGAATGGTAGAATGCGGAGCTTGTCTATTATATCTAGGTTTTAATTAAGGTTTCTTTAGTTCTTGTTTGTTATGAAGCCGTAGCTCGTAATTCGAAACCTCACTTCAATTTCAAGAATCTTTTCTGGTGAGAACACATCCCTTTAGGATTAAGGAATCCATAGATTGTATTGGGACATCACAAGTTACAAACAATCCAAGATTGATCTTTTACCTTAATGGTTGATTACTTTTTTTCTCTGTTGTTCTCATTTTTATTTTTTATTTTTGGCGAATTGGCTCTTAACTATATTAATATTGGTCTTTGCTCTTTAGTAAGAGTTTGGTTTATATAGAAAATGGGAGAATATGTATTAAAATAAAGCAGGTATCTTCTCCTTGTCAATAGTCATTCAAATTTAGAACTGTATCCATTCAACTTTTCTTGTTTCAGTGAACAAGCGACTAGACTATATGCAACTTCTAGAAATATTTTATTGTTCACTTGTTCATGTTTGGGTTTTGAATGGGTGCCTGGTGTTAGCACAATGTGCAAGAAATTATCTAGCCCGTTCCCTTGGTATTTAATTTCAAACTGGTAGGGTAGATAGTTATATGAGAAGCAGGTTGGAATTACTGGCTAAGACTATGCTGGAATTGATTGATGCTATTGTTGCAAATCCAATTATCAACTAATTTCTCACCTACCGTTCTCATTTCGTGTTCTTTTTTCTTTGTATATTCAAGCAGGATATGTAGGGAAGGAATTTTATTTTGTAGGACAGGAAAAAGAAAAAATATGGGCAGAAGTGTTTATTTTCACTGTAAGATGGTCCACTTGAGACTTTGATTTTTTCGATCCCCCTATATTCACGCACAATCGTTTGGACAATGACCTGATATAATTTTCGTTGTTTTTGTGTTTTCATCCCGATTTTTTATGGCATTAGACAGTTAAATGAATTGAAGTTTACAGCTGTTGGGGCTTGATTCTTGGTGATCCTGTTGGTAAATAATTCAGTCAATTTAACAAGAACTTTTTATCTTCTTTGATGACAGATTGTTCGGACTGAGAAGCTGAATATATGGCGACAGAACAATATTTCCAAGGGGCAGCAAGAGAAAGTGATTTCAGTGAAGATGGATCTTCCTTGGTGAAATGGAAATCCTTATCCTCTTCAGTCGAAGAGTCTGAATCTAATCCTTCTGGTGATTTTGAATGTAATATCTGTTTGGACCTTGTGAAAGATCCCGTGGTTACATTCTGCGGGCACCTCTACTGCTGGCCCTGTATCTACCGATGGATCAGTTCCCCCAACACATCTCTAGAAAACGCGGATCAGCAGCAGCCACAATGTCCTGTCTGCAAAGCTGAGGTGTCGCAGAAAACCTTGATTCCACTATATGGCCGTGGCCAAACTACAAATCCCACTGAAGACAAGGCATCAGATTTTAGTACTCTCATACCAAAAAGGCCTCTGAGTCTGAGATCTGGCAATAATGAGCTAATACCGACTACAAACTCAGGCTATACATTTCCTCAACCTCATCATCAAAGTTATTTACAATCGTCTCAACCATATCACCGTTACTCTGGCAACCATATGGATTCATCCATGCTCGGCATTGGCGGGGCAGCAACAAATTTGATTGATCCAATGATTGGAATGTTCGGTGAAATGGTTTATGCAAGGATTTTTGGGAACGCGGAGACGACTTTGTATACATATCCAAACTCGTATCGTCTAGCGAGTAGTAGCAGTCCTCGATTAAGAAGGCATATGATGCAGACTGATAGATCACTCAGTAGAGTTTGTTTTTTCCTTTGCTGTTGTGTAATCTTGTGTCTTCTCTTGTTCTGAAAAACCTTTTTGTTTCAGTTTTCCTCTTTGGTCCATTTTGTACTTGTAAAAATGCCATGTTAATAGCAGAGCACATTAACATATAAAAGTTGAGTTGGCATATAGATGATAGACTTACACCCATGGTGTTGAGATATATTGTCATAATTCGATATCGACTACATTTATGGAAGCAAAGCATTAATAAGCATTAATAGGTACTAAAATTTGAGATAAAAGAATTATTTTACTTAATAGGATGTTGATTCTTTTCTATTGATCATGCTGAGTTTGAAGCTGAATTGGACAAATCATATACAAATTTTTTCAACATTGGCCATGTTTAACGGCATCGCTCTCGCTTTAATTTATAAACATTTCAAAGTTTTCTTCTTGAATGATGTTACCAATGGTCGCTTTCTCTATACCCATCCCCACAAGCTATATATTTAAGAAAAATGTGGTTCATATAATGATAAATTAAATCATACCATAGCTTTCGAGCGTGGCATTATTTCTTTTGAGACCCTTGACTCTTTTTCTTACAAAACGAATGGCATCATCTCGTGAAAAATATAAGTATTCATAGAGGGTGTGGTGGCAAAATGTTGATGTAGATTGTAGCAGACAGTTTCCAAAGTGAGTTATCATCTTGATTGGCCTTCGTCGAATCTTCCAACTAAGGAGTCAAGATCGGTGGCCCGGCTTACAATTAGTGGCTCCTCAGATTAGAATATTAGTAACGTGCCAATATTGAATTGTTGTCATGGTGTGAACCCCTTGAATTTGGACGGCTCACATTACAAAATTAGACAATTTTAACGCACTAGGAAATTGTATTTTTAAGCTAAGATTGGATTCTTGTAATGGTGTGATCTTTCGTATCTTTGAAGAAAATCAAATGCAAAACATTCAACATATCAAATCATAATGAAACGTTGATGACCTAAATAGAGGACTACAATTCAATCAATAATTCAAAATCCCATCCACCAAACGACCATTTGATTCCCAATTGAGAGAATGAAGCAGCAAGTACCACAGTTAATATTTCAAAGAAGTACTACAATATATGATAAATAGCTTCATTTATGCTAAACTAACTCGATTATTTCTCATTCTAAATTTAGGAAATTGCTTTCCATTATCCCCACTAGAAAGTCCTCACCAATTTTACTTTAGCATAATATCGCGATCAAATGCATCGTAATTGTCGAAAGGGGAGGAATTCAATGGAACGGTTCCATATGCGTAGAATAACTGTCCACTCAAATTACAAAACTTGAAATTAAAAAATCACTCAAGTCACGATATCTCGAAAACCAAGTGAATAAGAGAAAAAAGTGCGTAGATAGACTCACTCGACATTCAAGTTGTCATGATTTGAAAGACACTCTTACTATGTATTCATATTGGATTGTCTTACTGAAATATTTCTATGTTTCCACCTTTAAGGGGTCTGCCTAGTCGGAGTGTATATGCATTACTCAACCTTTGTATACGAGTCATTTTAAGATAGCTCGAGTGATCGACCCATGGCCAACCCATTAAGGCATAATGTTACATTTGTATTAGTTGTTTAATTAGTCATATGTGCTAAATGAGCATATTGCATTTCACGAAAGAACAATGGCCTAAAATATAAGGGAAAATCGAAAAGGCAATCTTCGTGGTAGATAGTATTTTTATTACGTTAAAATTAACTTGACTAAATAGCACGTATATCAAAATTTTTTCCCCTCCAAAGTGAGCCAAGTTGTCCCACTCCTCTTTCCAAAGTCTCGTGTCCCCTAAATATTATAAGACCCAATGATTGGCTTCAATACGGTATTTATAGTATTTATATATTCATTGAACAATGGGGAATCGGGCAAACAAAAGATAACATTTTCAAGAGTTAAAGAAAAAAAATATATTTAAGAACCCGATAGGTAGTATATTGAATTCTTTGTTGATAGAAGATAAGGTAAATAATTTGGAACGATTTTTCAACCAATCACGAATTCTAAAAAATTCAATTAAAAAAATATCAAGAATTTTATCAGACATTCTGTGTTATGATTTGACAAGTGATGGTTTGAACAACGTATGAGATCTACACGAACAAAGTAACGATGCAACAATAAGTGCCTTTTGTTATAGGAGGCTTGAATTTCTCCTTAGTGTCTTTAAACAAATATCTAAGCTCCGTTTTGGCAAGATTTATAAAATTATTTATAAATGATCAAACTTCATTTTTAATCACACATTGCCAAAACGATCAAGTTGGTATTCTACCAAAATAACTAATTCAATCTTAGTCAAAATCACTCAAGCGGAGTCCACTTCATTTTTATTTATCCAACTCGATTTCACTCATGTGAAGTAGAGTAAAATATATGATCGGACACTATGTCCTCGACGAATCTCATTGACCCTTTAACATCTGAAGCACAAACTTAAAAATAACGAATAACGTTTATGATATAAACGTTAAACACAGGGTCAGGGCATTGTACAGTGAATGAGTAAGGATAGACGAACTTAGGTTCCCTGTCCAACAGTAAGTGCATCCGAGCACATAACCAACAATGAAAAGTTGTACGAAATTCTCACCAGAGAAATGCGCTGCACTGAAGACGAGAGAGCTTATTGCAACTGCTTGGTGCCACTTCATTGTGGAGGCAAGCGACGTCAATAGAAAACCTCTGTAGACAACTTCTTCCAATAAGGGAGTGACATTGCAATAGACAAGAATGCAGGCCATTGTAGAGCTTGATCCAGTCGAAAGAATTTCCTTGAGAAAGGGATTGTTGACGTCCTGTAAGAATTTGAACCATATTTAAATAAAATGTTACTACTGAAACGAATCAATTTCCTTGAGTAAGCTACTACAATTATGTATGATCCAAATCAATAATGAAACTTTACATTGTCTCCAATTCATAAAAACTTTACCGTTGGCAGTGACCTTTATTCCCAAGGAAAAAGAAAATAAAATCTTTTGACAATTTTGGGCCACACCTAGTTAAACCTAAAGTTAAAATTACTAGCAAGGTATCCTGCTATTGGATGATCTTCGAAAGGAATATTACTGTTACGTTACAAATCTAATTTCTTTATCTAGTCCTCTAGAAAGGGAAAAAACTTAAGAATTGGAAACTGGAACACGTTACTAAGAAAAGAAAAGAAAAAAATACTTCATTTAACTCGTTTTTTGGTTGAATTCTATCATGGTGGTGACTGCAAACAATACATAATCCTCTGGAACAATGAAGAAAAAGTCAACGAGCTCACCTTGGGCCCTATCAATCTGTCAGCAAGAATTGAAGAAACGAAAACCAATGAAACAAGAAATCCAAACCCAAACAGTGAACCCAGCAACCAGCTCCTTCCATTCGATGCCTTGTTAACTTGAAAGAAGTCTAAAAGTCTATGCTGAGGCTTTCCAGGAAACTTAAATAGAAGCAAAACTATACTGAGCTCCAAAGTTTGAATTGCAAGCATAAAAAATGCCTGCGATGAGAAGCAAAAAATTAGATTCGACATCAATTCATTATAGAACTCGGTAAATTATTAGCTATTTTGATAAAGGGGAAACAGATAAAAATTGAGCCATGTGGCTGACAGGAATTTGATTGAATTGAATTCAAATTATTAATACAACTTCATTCTCTAGAAAAGAATGATCAACGAATCCATTTATTTAGTAAAAATAAATTGGGAGACAAAGGACTGATGTTCATCACTTAGGTGAATGAAATCGACTTTTACTGTCTTCAAATGCAGTTGTTAATTGTAAAAAAAAAAATAAAAATTACTTAGATAAAGGAAAAGAACTTATAGCAATATTTTGCATTTCACACTGCAAGAAGTGGAAACAGAAAGATGGAAAGACGGAACAAGAACAATAAATTTCAATATTGACTCTTCTACTTTTCTGTATTAACAGTTCATCAGCTAAGTTCACCATTCACCAGCATTTCACTCGAAATACGGGAAAGAGTTGCACTTACCTGAATCTGGGGATCAAGAACAGCTTGATGCAATACCTTGGCAGCCACAGATAAACCACCAAAGCTCAAAGGAATGTGGATACTGAACACATAAAAACCCATAGAGCTCCATATACTCCCAACATCACATGAAGTGTCTGATTCTAGGACTGAGAACCCCTAGGAGAAATCAAAAACTAATTACAAGATGTACTATTATTAACATTACTAAAATGTATAAACAAAAATCCTTTGTATATGACTCGTAAGATAATTGCATGAATTCAGGCATCTATTAATCATTCCACCATCCAAACTAACATGATGAATTAGCATTTAAAAGCATTTTTTTTTTTATGTGAATTTATGTATACTAATCTGTTTGTATAGCACAAACGTATACATGCAGCACATGTAGATTGGAGGAGGGGGCGGAAAGGGGGATTGGGGAGTAGTACCATATAGGTTCATTTAGTGTTCAGGGACCTCTGTTAATTCCAGATAACCTCACTCTCTTTAGATTACTCCATCCCCAATAAGTTTTTTAATCTTAAATTGTGAATCTTGATATTTCTTTCCTAGAGAATAATAACGAGCTTTTCCAGAAGACACAAGAATGTTAGGTGGATGGCATTGCATAAATTAATGTTAATTTGTTTCCTGAAAATGACGATGAGCTCATCAGAAGACAGAAGAGTGGTAAGTGGACAGAGTTGCTTAAATTGAAATTTTTATACACAATTTCCTACATGAATTGACAACTACAGTTTAATTTGTGAGTTCACTTAGGTGACAAAGATATATCTTATTCTTTGATTTTCTAGTGGATCCATTCAATTCATTTCCAATATCTTGTCTTTTACAGTGTTCTAAAAGGCGTGCTTGGCAAATGAGCGGATGAAATTCCAAGCCAAGTGGCTTGGCGCCTTATTTAGCGTAGACCTTTGACTTCTAATCGTGCCTAGGAGAGCATTATTATCTCTCTCTCTTTTTAAGTTAAAATTTAACGGTTGATTTTTTCACTCCGTCTGCCCTAGATTCAAAACAGCCACTTGAAACCTTAAAAAAAGGAAAACTTCTAAAAATTCTTATCTATTTACTATTTAGTATTTATATTTGAAACTTATTCTTTTGTTGGAAATTTTGAAAAAATGTATAAAATTCCTATAAATTTAGTTTAGATGTTTGATGGGTATTATTTATAATTATTTAATAATTTTTGATTGATTAAAAATTAAAATAATATTAAAATAAGAAAATGCCTTTTTATGCTTATTACACCTATGCCTCGCTTAAGTTCGCCTAGCCCATAGCTTGATTGCCACGCATTATGCCTTTTAGAACACTATCTTTTACTACAGAATTCCAGTATTTTATGTTTTGATGACAATAAGTAAATGGTCCCAAGCACAACTGATGTAGGGAGATTAATAAATCTGTGGATAACAAGAAGGGATGGGGGAGGGAAGAGAAGAAGAATATAGAGGAGGGGAAGAGGGCAAAACGGCTGCAAGCCAAATCTTTAATTAATCAAAATTCATCATCTCAAATAACAATGTAAGATAGGTTTAAATACTGGAAAATAATGCAAACCTAGGGCTAAGCCCAATACACAAGTCCATAAAATTAAAATAACCTAAATTCCAACTAAAATAATTAAAATTGCTAAAATTAATTAAAATTGGATGTCCTCATCAATTCTCCCGGGGTGGGAGAGAAAACTCGACTCTGTCGAGTGGCTATATCACCATAGGCATCTGTCAATCTCCCAACCATAAGTTGAGTGGCTGGGCAAGCTTCTTCCTGCGTCTGTAGAAATGCGTCAGTGGCGGTCTGAACCTGGTGTCCTCACCAACTCCCCTCGGGTGGACGGGAGGCGATCTGGGCCAAGGAAGATCCTGCTGACTCCGATGAAGCTCTAGCAAATCTGGATCCAAATGCTGTAGTGTCTCCCTGGAGATCCATGCACAATCAGAATCTGGTCGACCAACCCAACGAACAAGGAAGCGCTGAACCTCTCCATCATTAGTGAACACAGTTTCATCTAAAATAGCATCAATTTTATCTGTGTGTGCTGTGAGAGGTGGTAGTGGGTTAGAGGGGGTCAGAATTAGGATCAAGGTCCACAAAAGGAGGTAACAGGGGATCATCTGAGGGAATGAAATGGCCTTTATAAGCTACAAGGTCTTCAACATTGAAAGTATGGTGGTAACCAATGTGGGATGGAATGTCAACAATATATGCATTTGGACCAACTTGCTTTAAAATTTTAAAAGGACCAGCACTACGAGCTTGCAATTTGGAGGCGGGTCCATGTAGACGCCGCCCTGGCCTAATGCGAACCATAACGTAATCCCCAACATTAAACTCAATGTGTCGTTTATGTAAATCAGCTTGTAGTTTATAATTCGCATTACTAGCTTCAAGTTGTTTATTGATCTCAATGTGCAAATCACGAAGGTGTTGTGCAAATACTTCGGCTGATACTGACACTCTAGCCTGTGGGGACACAGGGATGAGATCTAATGGTTTCCTAGGCTTGTATCCGTGAACGGCTTCAAATGGACTCATACCTAATGAACGATTTACGGAGCTATTATACGCGATTTGAGCGACAGGAAGGATTAAATCCCAATTCCGAAGGTTCTCCCGGACCAGACAACGTAATAAGTTACCAAGACTCCGATTAACAACTTCGGTCTGACCGTCAGTTTGAGGGTGGTAGGCTGTAGAAAATTTTAATTTGGTACCCATCTTATGCCACAAGTCCTCCAAAAATGGCTAGTGAAGCGAACGTCCCTATCGGACACGATGGTCTTGGGAAGCCCATACAGTTTGACAATCTCATTAAAGAATAACATGGCAACCTTGGACGCATCCGATGTTTTGCTACAGGGGATAAAGTGAGCCATTTTTGAGAAACGATCGACAACCACGAAAATAGAATCATGCTTCTTTGGGGTGCGTGGTAGTCCTAGCACAAAATCCATACTAACGTCTTGCCAAGGACAATTGGGGACGGGGAGAGGAGTGTATAGGCCTGTGTTCTGCTTCTTTTGTTTGGCCAATTGACAAGTGTTACATGTACTAACAATTTTAGCCACATCTCTCTTTAAACTAGGCCAATAGAATTGGCGTTCAACCTCCTCAATGGTCTTATCACGCCCAAAGTGACCGGCTAACCCTCCCGCGTGCACTTCCCACACTATAAAATCTCGTACTGAAGTTCGAGGGATGCACAATTTATTGGCTCGGAAGAGATAACCCTTCTCAAGTCGAAAGCCATCTGTGCTGTTTGATTGTCCTCTTTGCAAATCGAGAAAGATATCCTTAAAATCTGGGCATGCCTCGTAATCCTCCTTAAGCCTTTCAAAACCAATGACTTTGACACTCATGATCGACAAAAGGGAGACACGACGACTTAACGCGTCAGCTGCTTGGTTCTCCACGCCCTTCTTGTGTTTTAAAACGAACGAATAGGCCTGCAAATATTCAACCCAACGTCCATGCCTAGAACTTAATCTCTTCTGAGAGTTGAGGTAACGGAGGGCTTCGTGGTCCGAATAAAGGACGAATTCTTGGGGCAACAAGTAGTGGCGCCAATAGCGCAAAGCCTGGACCACCGCATACAGTTCCTTATCATACGTTGAATATCGTCGTTTGGCCTCATTTAACTTTTCACTGAAATAGGCGACAGGGTGACGATCCTGACTTAAGACTCCGCCTATACCTACCCCAGAAGCGTCACATTCAACTTCAAAGACTTTGGAAAAATCGGGAAGACGCATGACAGGAGCTTCTGTCATTCGCTCCTTGATTAACTTAAAGGCCTTCGCCGCCCCGCGTGTCCAATGAAACTCCCCTTTTTTCATGCACTCCGTGATAGGCGCCATAATAGTGCTAAACCCTTTAATAAAACGGCGGTAAAATGTAGCTAAGCCGTGAAAGCTCCTGACATCATGAATGGCCTTAGGCTCAGGCAAGTCAATTATCGCCTGAATCTTAGTAGGGTCAGCAGACACCCTTGTCGACGAGACGATGAACCCTAGAAAAACTACGCTATCGGTGAAAAAGGAACATTTCTTGACATTAGCATACAGGTTAGTCTCGCGAAAGGTAGAACAAACTTGTTTGAGGTGGTCACGGTGTTGCTCCTTGGTTTTACTATAGATGAGGATATCATCAAAGTAGACAACAAGAAACTTACCCATGAACGGCCGAAGAGTTTGTGTCATTACCCGCATGAAGGTACTCGTAGCATTACTTAGCCCAAAAGGCATGACCAGCCATTCATAAAGGCCATCTTTCGTCTTAAACGCAGTCTTCCACTCGTCCCCTGGGCGAATTCTAATTTGATGGTACCCACTCTTTAGATCGATCTTTGAAAAGCCCAATACACAAGTCCATAAAATTAAAATAACTTAAATTTCAACTAAAATAATTAAAATTGTTAAAATTAATTAAAATTGGATGTCCTCATCAACGACCAGATGTGCTATTGGAAGTTGGATTAGGTTTGTGCTGACATGTATCTATCCAAGGCTCAGCCAATCACAGTCTTTGTTGGCGAAGCTTGTCAAGTAGCTTAGTTCATCATTGGGTGGTTGCCAGACTACTATACTGGTATCACATGTTTGCTCATCCAACATTTTCGTTCATCTCCACTCATAACCCACCCTTCGTTTGTGAAAGTCATAGAGATCAAGATGTGTGGAACTTTGGACAGGAAAAATGAGATACCAATAATTTCCACATTGGTTATCCGTAAGCATTGTAAGTAAAGAGAATTTTTGGCGCCAATGTTGAGGATTATTTGTTGGCCATAAAGCAATCTATGTTTGTATAGCAATGCAAAGTTGCAACTTCAAAAGCGGGTAATGCACTTAAATCATCTTTAAATTATGTAGAATCCATAAACATAATGGGGATTGGGAGATATCAGAAAATAAAAAACAATGTGCACACATTCCACTAGAAGTCAAACCACATAAATAGGTACCTCTGAAAAGAAAAAATGGTGCTGACTCGACCAGAATCAAGAAGTTGATTGAGAGTATCAGAAAGAAAGTTAATGCATTTCGCTCAATAAGCAAAATAAACCCCCCCGCCCCAACTCGGTAGAGTCACTAAGATCACATGAACAGTGTAGGAATATTACAGTGGTATCTTCAAAAGTCATGGGCAACCACCCATGGGTTCTTTCTTTATTTGGGACCAAATGTCTTGTGTATTTGCTCCTACCAATCAAATTTCATCTGCTTAACTTTTATGACATTATTCATTCATAACTCGTAACATTCTGGTCCAACCATGATCCCCCTCGATTGTGTTCAATGTGGCATTATAACCCATATGTGATCAAGATATAGTATTTTGACTAAGATTTCAGCCCCAATAAAAGGCATCACTGTGACTTATAAAGCAATTATAACTGACAAAAGATAAACAAATGCTCCACAGTTTGTCACAGAAAATCCATTTCTGTATTCTACAAAATGCAAATGTTCTTCAATTTTCCATCAACTACCGGGCTACAACTAATGATGAGAACTTTAATCTTGGTAATATGCATTTTTGTTGAATTAGAAATATAAAAGGAGTCCAAACATTTTGATGTAAGCAAATGGTACAGATTATCTCTTAAGTTCTCCCAAAAGCCCATTTATAACAAAGAATCAACCATTTACATAATAAAGCACAAAGATGAGTTTAACACATCATAAATACAATTTTTGCAACTTACACCAACAAAATTGAACAAAGCCCACAAAAAATAATCACACGTAGGGACAAAAATATCATGAATCTGTGTTTAATTCTATACAGTCAAGTTGCAAATCATTCAGATTATAAGAGAACTGCAAAAGCAAAAAGCACCTCAGTGCCTTTTTGGGTGCCTTGGTGTTTGCTGCAACGACACTGGAAAGAAGCTCTACTGCTGAATGAGGTAGAATTCAGCAATGGTATGCCGAAACCATGGCTGAATTTAGAGGGAGTTGGGCATAGGAGAGGCCTTATTAGTATAGTACTCATTTTACTCCGCTAAAACGGGAATTTACGGGGAGACTGATGCCAAGAGGATAAAATGTGAGTTCTTAAAGAGATTTTTATTTGGAAAAATTGCTCCATTGGTATCAAGTCATGGCCCTGTTACAATTTTGTCTTTAATTTTTATTTTATCAATTTTATGCAGACATCTCTAATTTTGGATTCTAGTAAGGTAAAATAGGTACTCAACTTAATTTTAATTAAAAAAAAAAAAGTAGAAAGGAAAGAAGTACCCAAAGCCCTTATTACCACCCTCCTCTATCCATCCTTAGATGCACCATGAACTTGCCTTCGTCGTTTGATCTTAACCACTTTACGTACTTGTTTGAATTGCATCCTAAAGTCTAAATAAAAATAGTAATGTCATCTTGCATTCATTCTTATATGACTATTTTGTTGTTTTTATTAGTTTTCCATTTAGAACAAAACAAATTTGACATCCAAAGGAATTTGGAATGTCCTATCTCGTTGTTCTGGAAGAGTAACTGATTCATAAAATCAATTTTCAAGAGATATAAGAATATTTGAACTTGTGTTCTATTCAATTGTATGACCTATAAAAAGTGATGGAATTATGAACTTTGAATCTAAATTGAGGTATAATGACCTACTTGAGATAAACTAAAGTTAAACGACCTAATTGAAATTATTCTGAAAGTTCAGTGACCGTATCCAGCACAAATAAGAAAAAAAACCAAAAATGGAAATCGATAGCACATTTGTTGCTGCCCAGGATCGAACTGGGGACCTTTAGTGTGTAAGACTAACGTGATAACCACTACACCACAGCAACTTTGGTTTATTTTTAATTTATTATTTATATTTAGCGTTTGTTCGTTAGCACAGTTTGCCTTAAACTTCGGATATGATTGATGGATAGCGCAATTATACGGTCTTGAAAATCCCAAAAAATCTCATCTTTTTGTCTTCTTACCTTCCGACCGAAGCGAAACCCCAACTTTGATTTCAGATGTTAGGGGTTTTGCGCTGATAAGAACAAATTTGTTCATTTAATTGATTGATAGAATTTTTATTGGTGCAATCCAAGATCAGCTCAGAAATCGGCAAAATGTCTCGGGTGGCGCGTATCTGTTTTCAGTCACTGCTGAAGGTGGTGAATTCCGGTATAGGAATCGTGGGTATTGCCTTGATTGTATACGCCCTTTGGATGTTTATGGTTTGGCAACGCCATCTCGCCTCTGACTCCGCTCCCAATGCTCCAATCCCTTGGTATGAATGTGTATATACTCATGAAAGAGAATTACTTTATGTTTACATGTGCGTGTATGGTGTGACAATGATTGTAAAATAAAAAAGTTGAAATGAAAGTTAATTGCTTTATGCTTATATGAATTTGGTGTGACAATGATCATAAAGGAAAAGTTGTTGCTTTTGCTTTTCTTTGTGGCAATTTATTTGTTAATTCATTTCGAAATTGGGCTGCAGGTTCATATACACTATAATTGGACTTGGGGTTAGTTTGTGTGTGATCACATGCTCGGGTCACATTGCAGCCGAGACTGCAAATGGTTGTTGTTTATACATAGTATCCTTATGATTTTCTTGATCGTTAATTTCTCTGTACCTATTAACGTGTGGATTGTGATGATGGACATATAGATAACATCTTTTTCTACGTTATGTGACTTATAAGAATGTTATTTTTGCTACATTTAAATCTCTTAGTTGTATATGGATTAATATTCGTGCTTCTTTGTCTACTGAATGCTCGCTTGTTCATTAAGTTGTGTAATGTTTACTGCAAAATTACTCGCATAGAATATATAAGGCCTATTGATGCATTATGCAGTATTAAACAATCACTGTCATTGTATAAGTAGGCGAAAGAGAAGAAGTGAAGAAGAAGAATAAAGAGCGTCAAATGCTTTATTATAATTACAACAATATTATTGAATACAGGACAATATTATTGTATATTTTAAATTGTTTATCATCTTGCGGGTATAAGGGTGGCCTGATGTTTATTTTGCAGCTTAAAACTATTTAACGTTTTTACAGCATCCGACATGAGTGTGTGTCCTGTATGGCAACAAGTTGTGTAGGTTTTCAGGACATGAAGTTATTAGAATTGACTGCCTTCTGATCAGTTAGTTTAAAAACAAAATTGTGCTGTCGTTATCGTCAATTGTTCTGGAATAATGTGTACATGAAGTGTTTTGCATATTTATAAGCATAGCTTACAGTGTCTAAAATTGGTATATGTTTTTGATATATTAATTCTAGTATATAAAGTTGATTCTAGGGGAATTATGTCATTCAGAATAAAAAACGTATATATATATTACTTTTCTGTTGACCTTAGCTGGGGCAGTACATGGTTTTCATCTTTATGCTTCTAGTGCTGGAAGCTGCAGTTACTGCAGATGTGTTCTTAAACAGTAACTGGGAAGAGGTATCTAAGACTGGTTTGCACCATTTATTGTGCATGAAATGTCTTAAAGTGCTAATAATTTATTTCTTTGTTATAATTTACTGCGTGTATATTAGGACTTCCCGGATGACCCAACTGGAAAGCTGGATGAGTTAAAGGACTTCATTAAGGATAACTTCGACATATGCAGATGGATTGGCTTGACAGTTGTAGGTCTACAGGTTGCTCTCTCTCTCTCTCTCTCATGCACACACGCACGCACATGCAGATGCACATTCACTTAATAGCCACATCCTCTGCCTTTTCGTCATGAGTGACTAACTGGTTAGGTACTTCAACTGTTTCCACATCTTTCCATAGCCCTTTATTATTTTCTGGTCTAATTTTCTCAAGGTCACTAATTTTCATCAGAGAGAAATTTTCGGATTTCAACTCTCATCATTTTGGAGGTCTCTACTATTGGGTTGGTTGATGGGCAGGGTGATCCCATTTTGAACTATAGAATTCTTTTAAAATATTGATATGAGTTCGAAACTGAGAATTGAGTTATATTTATAGCTTTTACACATCGTAATTTATAAGGTTGTGTGTAGTGAGAAGATCATGGTTGAAGTTTTTCGAGTGATAAATTATGAATTCATCCTGTTAGAATCTTGTAATTTTAACTAGATAATAAGATCCATTCCATCAACTCTCTCCTTATTGTTCATGGTATGCTTTTTGATTTTTCCATAATTGTTGGTCTGCACCATGGTGATAATTGTTTTAAATGCAGGGATTAAGTATGTTATTGGCAATGATTCTCAAAGCCCTTGGACCTAATTCCATTACATATTATGAAAGTGACGATGATTATATACCAGACAGAGTACCCCTATTGAAGAATTATGTACCACCACGTTCTTATGCTGTCAGTGACCCACTTTATCAGCGAAAAAATGATTCTTGGAATATAAAGATCAACAGTAAGGTAAGTATTTGTTCAACCTTGGAATTTAAGCATATTATATCACCTATCAATCTCTGAAGTAAATTTTATCAATCTAAGGAAATTTGTATGTGCAGTTGGCTCGGGCGGATATCTTGTTTTTTATACTTTTTTGTGATAATTGTTTCTCATCTCCTTATTTAGAACATATTTTTCTGTACAGTGATTTTTCACAGATTTGCTGAAGGTGACTTATTCCTTTTTCTGTAGTATGTTGGAAGTATTTATTAAATATATGCCTTCTGGTTTCATTTTGATTTTGAAGATTGTCATTGAAACATTTAGCATTGACATACATCAGATCTGTCACATATAGTTTTTTGTATAAATAATGGGACGAAATATCTACTGAATTCTACACTCCTTGAACTCTCGAACCTTAGTCCATCTCATGGTATGTAGGTGTGATCTCTTGATAGTTGAATCTTTCCTTGCCTTGTAAGACTTGTGTCTTTTGGTGATTGTGCTTGTTTTTGAACTTGTATTTGAGCCCCTCTCATTATGCAATACTAGTATTAGCTGAATCTTTTCCATTAACAACGTGTTTTAGTTGGCCATTGTGCAAAATTTGAACATCCTTTCTACGAGTTGAAGTACAAAAAATGTTCCATTCACGAATTCATATCATCAAATTGTGTCGTCATTAAGTACTAAATTTTTTATGTATCTGAATCTAATTCTAGAAATTAGTCAGGGCCTTCTTTCCAAGTCTACCAGATAGAACATGTATGAGGACAAATGTCGTTTTCAGAGAAGTGAGTCTTCTTATCTGGTTGAGGGACACAGCTTTCTCTTCTGCTGCAATTCTAGCCCCTGCTTTCCTCCCCATTATTCTGGAACTCATCCATTTTCTTAAATTGATTTCAATAACTCATTTCATGAGACCCACTTCTTTTAAATTTTTTAATCAAAATCTACTAAAATTTTGATTTTTATCTAAACCAACCAGGGGCAATATAACATCAGTCTCTTAGATTGACTACTTACTTTGTCCTTGATGAGTAATCTATGCTATGTTTTCCCTTTGGGATAGTTTCTGCTTCTTCTTGTTAGTTGGGAACAAATGATCAAATCTACGTTTCTTCTGTCTTTCCAGGCAGGCAGATAAAAGTCATCCTTTTAGATGATGGAAGAGTTCAGATAAATGATGAGAAAGAGGTGGTTCAATCTTACACTGCTGTGCAACAAGATAGCATTATTAGAGGCATATTCGTGGCTGCCTCCTAGCGGTTAGCAATTTCTTGTAACCATGTGTATTGATGTAAATTCTTCATCTATTATGCTTGAACTTCCATAAATATCAGTTATATGATGAATGGAACTATTTAATATTGTTTGTAGAAATATGTTGTGGTTACAAGTTGTGACCAAATTAAACAAGTGAGCGGCTAAGCTGCAGAGAGTGACATCCACGGATTCATTTTGCCCATATAGCATTTGAGGTTGCACAATAAGCAACAGAAAATAGAGCATGAACAAAGCACAAAATCCCTCCAATGGATAAGAAATGATGGTGTGTGAAACCACAGGAAGCTCTTGATTTGTTGTTTGATATTGTTCCAATCACCAGCATCCCCAAGCCAACAGCCAGTATGATCCTACACATCCATATATTATTAGCTCCTTTGATAGATGATCACAATGAGTCAGACTCAATAGAATTTGATCAATCCTTTTTTCTGTCATTAAGACTAGAAAGTAATCTCAAGTCTAAACGCACGATGAATGCAACACCAATAATGTGGCCCGAAGCTAGCAACTTAGACATGTAAAGCGAGACTTGAATATTATGAGTTTGAGATGGATAAAAAAATTGTATGGGAATAGTGATGCATTGTTGAAACATAAGGTAAATATTTTATTTGGTGGAGCATTTATAAACATGGGTGAATGAGTGGTACATAAGTGGATAGTATTTAAGGATCCTACGAAATGTTTGACCCTTTTTAAGCAAGGTGATTATAAACATCTAGAAACAATAAGCCAAACATATTTTACGTGCATACCAGGTAAACACAAGGCTTGCCACTGACAATTGCTTGCTAGGAGGTGCTTTTGAAAGCTCCTCTTGACTACATATATTGCACCCTCCAATCAAATTTGTAAGAACGTGAGCTATACACAGAAGCGTAGCAGCAGCTACGCCTAGGACAAAAGCATCATGGCTTGGCTCTTTACACTCGAATATCCATAGTCTCAAATGCTTTTCCTATTGGAAACATACCGTAAATTTCATGTTACATAAGTAATATTGAACATGATTGAATGTTACAAATGACAAGATTTTAACTCACCTGGTTTTGAGCTGCTTCAGCTTTGATCCCAAGTATTCCAGCAGTTATATCCAATGCTATTATTAGCAGACAAGCGAAAATGACAATCTTTTTCACCATTTTTCAAATCTATCTCTTTGTTTTTGGGAGAAAATGAGTAATGTGGAGATGATAACAGTGTGCTTATGTACATGAAATGTAGCATTAAATAAACAATATTTGCGAGAGATAAGATTACAGTGATGCTGGGAAAGTTTTTCTTGCCAATGGAGGTAACTTAATTTGCTTTTCGTGTCTTTTATTTTATTTTTATTTCATTTTCGTTCTGAGAGATTCCATTCGTGGGGTACAAGGAAAGAAGGGTATAAACCAGCTAAGTATGGATGCAGAAGAAGTGGCGTCTTTTCTGCCAAAAGTAAAAAGTAGTCTAAAACATGCAAAGGTATTTTTTGAGTCCCCATTTGATTTTTTCGAAAATTAATTTTAATATATTTTGATAAAAATAGATGAAATAACTGTATGATTAATAGTTATTGTTCACTTTGATTTAAATTTTTATCAACAAGTTTAGCTAAATAAAATATTGGCTACATCAATTATATAATAAAAATATAACCTTAAAATGATATAATTAAGTCAATAATGTAATAAATTCTCTATTAAAAACCTTTTTTCTTTTTTCTTATTTTTTGGGTTCAAAGTGGTTTGAACATTTATGACCTATTAGTGCAATATTGTATGAAGTAAAAAGATATTAATTTCATATTTACATAATTCTTGTCTAGTGGTTTGAAGTGTAGACTGCAAAACGTGTCAATAATTTTCACATTTCTATTTATAATTTAAATATTTTAGTCCTATATAAATTTTTTTTTTCTCTAAAAATTTTGTAACAACCATTGGAAATTAATCCGTACTAGATTTTAATGGAAGAGGAAAGAAGTATAAAAATTTCACAAGTTCTTGCAGTGTTATGCTTCATTTTCATTGACACGAGAAACCAACTAAAAGATGAAATATGTATTGGGAAAAAAACTCCATGGAAGTACATAAAGAATAATTTTATAGATATCTTGGATCCGTCATGTGTATAAAGCACTAAAGTCACGATTTGAAACTCAAAGATTAAAGCTAGGTAATAAAATATATAATATTTTATATTTTTCTTTCTTATTACTTTCAAATGTCGAACATTCTACATCACTTGATGAACGACAATGGCATAATTGATAACCTTGCACAGTTATACAAGAAAGAAGAAAATTATAATAATTTTTTTTCCAATTAATTTTGTCTAATATTATTAAGTCTTTATCATCCTTATGCACCATTCCTTGCTGCCTACGAAATCTTCATAGTAGGACACCGAAATGGGAGGTACTTATTGAAACACGATTGAGATAGACTCATTTACTTGTTCAACTCCAACTCCGACCACAATTGGAACAAGCAGCAGCTCAAAAATCTTTGGGATGCTCTTCGGCTTAAACATAAAAGACCGGAGGAATTGCTTCATTGCACTGGTGTTGAATACAACCCGACAACGGGTAGAATTGTTGTTTCAGAGGAGTGGTGGGTTCGAAAGATGAAGAACCCTGCTTCATGAACAACTTTTCTATTTTACTTCTTCAGGGAGATTGTTTTCCAACTGCCAACGTCGATTCGAGCTGTGATAATTGCCGTTCGAACCTGTGTATTTCACATTGATTTTCATGGCAGTGTAGTTCGTTTTTACTGTGATTTTATAGTACATGAATAGTAATTTGTATGTATGTAATGTAATTCTAGTCTAATGCACATTTCTAATCTCCTAGCCTTCTCTGAATCTTCTCGGTGAGTTTGTTACTGATTCAAGGCAATACTGCTATCAGATTCTTTTTCCTATTGATTAGAACATTTTCATATCACATTGGTTGTGAATTGAGCTTCTTCATATTCAAAATAGCTTAGTGAAACTCGCAATTCCATTGTTGATAATTGAGAAAAATGTTATGTATGAATATTATGAGGCCGTTGAATTCCACCTCAGATTGGTTCACACATTGCTAGGGATGTCAAATGGGTTAAGCGGCTGGTGGGCAGATCGGGCTCATCAAATGACGAGCCCGAGCCCGAGTCCGGGCCGAGCCCGCAAGTGGCTCGTGGGACGTGTGCCCAAGAGCCAAAGTTCACGAGCCCACAAACCGTAAAAAATGTGCAAATTTACAAAATAAATAAATAAAATTACGAGCTTGCGAGCGACTCGCGGGCTCGACTCGGCTGGGCTTGCGAGCTTGTGGGCCGAGCTGAGCTTGCCCCCAAGCAACGAGCCACAAGCCACCAGCTCGACCCATTACCATCCCTACACATTGCTTGTTCATGTTTAGCGATTTCATTTAAGGAGTTAAATTGTCATTCATATTAGAAAACATAACAGAGAAGCGTTGTAAAAAAATTCATAATTTTCCAGAATGTGTATGTATCTCACTGTTAGCAAATTAGTTTGAGTTGGGGTCACCCAAACCTTATTGCTGATATCCATATTCATCTTCAGCGGTCGCTATTTGCAAAGCTTAAATGGATTTGAGTCTTTTTGTAAAAATTGTCAACACTTTTTTTTTGTCATTTGGCACAAGAGAACAAAGATTATAAAGATTTCAAAGGAGAAGACTGCAGATAGGTATACAGTTATAAAGCTCTGTTCAGGGATGTGTCTGACAACGAGAAGTACGCAATCACACTAACAAATTTATGTAGAACTGGCTTCTCCATGTTCAAAGACAGCGGATACGAAATTATCGTGATGAGATACCAATCGATGAGGAGAGCAACGACTCAAGTAAGGAGGTTGAGAAAACAAAGAAATCAACATCTAGCATGGATGTTTCCGACCTCGTGCAGTGGAGACAAACATAAGTCGGCGAGCAAGAAGAAAAAGAAAAGAAGACGAAAATATTGGCATGCGAATTAAAGTACTCAATTGATCGCGCGATCACTACAGGTGAAAAGGATGCGTCCAAACTCGACAACTTCATTGGATCAGCTATCTTGAAAGCGAAGATATGCTTGAAGGAGTTGTTGGGGACGAATTGATTAGTAAAGAAAACTGATTTGTAATTTTGGACGTGCATGTTCTTGATCCTAAAGAGTAATAGGAAGATATTAGAAATGTAGGATGATGCAAACAAAAAATTCGAGTGGATGGAGTGGAACTAGTAGGAGTATAGAAAATCAAGCGAAAAATTCGAGCATATTGATAAGTAAGTGTGATCCCAAAAACTTTTTCCATGAGAGCCGTTCGACGTGAAAACCTTTTGATGATTTTATTTTCAATTTTTATTTGTATGTGGTATAGTGTTTGAAATGGTGGTGGAATAATACCTTCTTGTCTACCTAGTGGCGTCTGGCGTGTATAACTTGAACCCCGTTTTACCTTCGGCGTAATAATCAGTATATGTGTTAAGAAAAATGAGGACGGAATTCAGATGGCTGAAAAATATGCTATCTTATACCTGTGTAACCTTCAGGAGTATTTATAGACGTTGGAAGCCGGGTGAGTACCGGGTGGTCATGGTGCCACGTGTCATGTGTTGGCTTTCTCACTATTCCCAAGTTCTGAGTGGGGGTCTTTAACTTCCTACCCGGAGATTGTGTTTGTAATAACCAACATGAAACCTTGTCAATTTATCAGAGATTTTATGGCTCAGTGTAGGGGTGGCCACGTAGGTAATTCCATACCGGTCGATAACCTCATATGAAGGTAGAGTTCTCACCGAGAGGTCGATGGTCTCGCGTAGAGGTAGAACGCCCGTGGGGGTCGATGCCCTCGCGTAAAGGTGGAGCACCCATACGAGGTCGATGGCCTCGCGTAGAGGTAGAGCGCCTGTGGGGGGTCGATGGCCTATCGTAGAGGTGGAGTGTACATGGGGGGTCGATGGCCTCGCATGGAGGTAGAGCGCCCGTGGGAGGTCGATGTTCTCGCATAGAGGTAGAGCGCCCGTGGGGGGTCGACGACCACGTGTAGAGGTAGATTGCCCACCGGGGGTCGACGGCTACACGTAGAGGTAGAGCGCTCATGATGGTCGATGGCCACGCGTAAAGGTAGAGCGCTCATGGAAAGGGGTCAATGGCCTCGCATAGAGGTAAAGCGCCCATGGGAGGTCGAAAGCCACGCGTAGAAGTAAAACACCCATGGGGGGTCGATGGCCTCGTGTAGAAGTAGAGCGCCCATGAAGGGTCGATGGTCTCGCGTAGAGGTAGAGCGTCCCCGAGGGGTCGACGGTCTTGTGTCAGCGTGTAATACCCAACATTGCTCATTATCGCAGGCGGTAGTCTGCGCCATCTAATATCACTAGCCCCTACCCCTTGTCGATGTTTTTTGGTAAGGGGTAGGATCTTTATTTTCTCGAAAAATTTTATTTTATTTTATTTTTTATTTTTTTGTCGTCGAAGGCTTTCTGTCTTCCCGCTTGCGTTGTGTCGACCGTCAGGTGTGGTGTCTGGTGGTTAAGGGCCTTAGTCATTTTTTTTGCTTCTAAGGCTTTCCGTCTAGCCGCGTGGGCTATTTCGAACGTCGAAAGAGAGGTCTAGCAGTTAAGGGTCTTAGCTAATTTTTTGGCTTCTAAGGCTCTCCACCTAACCACGTGGGCTATGTTGACCATCGGGAGAGGGGTCTAGTGGTTAAGGGCCCTAGCCAATTTTTTGGCTTTTAAGACTCTTCATCTAGCCGCATGGGCTATGTCGACCGTCAGGAAAGGGGTCTAGCGGTTAAGGGCCTTGGCCAATTTTTTGACTTCTAAGGCTCTCCGCCTAACCGTGTGGGCTATGTTGACCGTCGGGAAAGGGGTCTAACGGTTAAGGGCCTTAGTCAATTTTTTAGCTTCTAAGGCTCTTTGCCTAGCCACGTGTGCTATGTTGACCATTGGGAGAGGGGTCTAGCGATTAAGGACCTTAGCCAATTGTTTGGCTTCTAAGGCTCTCCACCTAACCGCGTAAGCTATATTGATAGTCGAGAGAGGGGTCTAGCGGTTAAGGGCTTTAGCCAATTTATTGCCTTTTAAGGCTCTCTGCTTAGCCGCGTAAGTTATGTTGACCATCGGGAGAGGGTCCAGCGGTTAAGGGCTTTAATCAATTTTTTGGCTTCTAAGGCTCTCTGCCTAGCCGCGTGAGTTATGTCGACCATCGAGAAAGGGGTTTAGCGGTTAAGGACTTTAACCAATTTTTTGGCTTCTAAAGCTCTCCGTCTAGCTGCATGGGCTATGTCGACCGTATGCCTATGTGGAATAAGCAGTTCAGATATGGAAATATAAAGCCCCGCTTGTAGAGCTGCCCATTGATGATGGTAAATGATGCTGCTCGGACCCTCAACCTCTTTGCTTCGAAGGCATTTTATGGTACCTCATCCTCCGTGAGATATTTGATTAGTAGATCCATCTAGTTTTCTTCATATTCAATGTTCTTCATCTTGGCCCAGCCTTGAATGTTGGGTTGTCGTAGGACTCACATGTTCGCTGCCCGTGGTAGATTTCTCGGGCTTGCCGATGCGAGCTTTGCCAATGCATCTTCCCGCTCATCATTTCTTTGTAGGACCTTAGTCATCTTAAAACTTGTGAATTCCCTTTGCAAATCCCTTATTTTCATCAGATATGCCGCCATCTTTCCATCCTTTGTTTTAAACTCCCCAATACTTGTCCAACTATTAGCTACGAGTCACTGTAAACCTCTATTGAAGACACCCCCTGCCTAGTCGCCAGACCTAGGTTTGTGATCATTGCCTCATACTTAGCATCGTCATTGGTAATGGGGAACTCGAAGCATAGTGAATATTCCAATTCTTCAGAGTTCGATCAGATCATTATGATCCCTGCTCCTGATCCCTCTGCATTCGAGGAATCGTCCACAAAAGTCTTCCAACCCATTTTTTGCCCTTCTAGTGATTCTGGTGGAATAGTGAGCTCGACGATGAAATCCGCTAGAGCCTGCACTTTGACGGCCATCCTAGGCCTAAATTCGATGTCAAACTTGCTCAATTCGATCACTTATTTCAACAGCCTCCCGGATGTCATTGGTTGATGTAGGATCATGACAATCAATGCAAGCACCAGTTGTTCGGCGAGGCTATATCTCATCTATGAACCCTTGAGGACTAAGCTTACGTAGTAGACTGGTTTTTGTATCTTTGAGAATTCTTTCACTAGTACTACGCTGATTGCTCGGGGCGAAACCGTTAGGTAGAGATACAGTACTTCCTAGGGCATGGACTGGTTAAAATTGGAGGTTGCTATAGTGACTGCTTCAAGGATTGCAGTGATTCTTTATACTCTTGCGTCCACTTGAAATTAATAGAGCCCCCTATGGCTTTGAAAAAATGGTAGCATTTATCTACCACCCGACTCATAAAACGGTTAAGGGCCTTTATCTGTTGTCAGTCGTCGGACCTCCTTCTTGCAAATGGGGTTCTTCATTTTTAGTATTGCCTGTATTTTGTCGAGGTTCACCTCAATACCTCTCTGAGTGATCATGAAGCCTAGGAACTTTCCACCTGTTGTACCAAAAACACATTTCTCTGGATTGAACTTCATGTTATTCTGACGAGCTACGTCAAACACTTTCTGTAGACAGACTACATGATTGCTGGCCCTGACACTTTTTACCACCATGTTGTCGACGTAGGTCTCTATGATATTCCCGATCAATTCCCGGAAGACCTTATTCACTATTCTCTAGTAAGTTGCCCCCGCATTTTTTAGGCCGAATGGCATGGCCGTGAAACAGTAGGTCCCAAAATTCGTGATAAATGACGTCTTTTCCTGGTCGAACTTGACCATAGAGTTCTGA